AAAATATCATCAATAAAGTGCAATTTCAAAAATATTAATCCCGCGGAAAACAAAAATGCGGTTCAAAAAAAATTTATGCGGCTTCCGAAATGCAATCGCAGGAAGGACGTGGTAAAAAAAGAAAGAGAACGTCAAGTTAAATAAACAGCACGAAGGGCCTTTTGTGTAAACTCGAAACTAAAATAATATATCTCGTTCCATCTACAAATCGGTCGAGGTAGGGCGTACCGTTTAAAACCCTCATATGTCAATACAAACCACCTTCTCAACTTTATGAATCATATGTTTCTCCAGAGTTGCTGACCGTTCTCAAAAATGTTTTACACGTATTATTAATGTTCATGAAAAATGAATAAACTTGTTCGCTTCGCGCGAGTATTTGTTTCATTGTAAACATAAATCAAACGAAATTTATGAGCATGGTTCTACGAAGCTTTACTTGTTTCTTAAAAAAAAAAAAAAGAACACTGCAGAGAATAATTTTGTTTAAAAATAATTATTGTCGATAATATTCAAAATATTAATGAAATTTTAACAAACGTACTAATACATTAACAAAAATGTCTGTTCTGACAACACCTAGTCACGTCCATATTAAATTTTATTTCCAAGACGAATAACTTTTAATATATGTAGTTTTAATTTCATTTACCAATAGCATTGTAATTTTGCTTATTATTAACGAGGTATAAAATAAATGTAATATTTAATGCATTTTTATCACACGCTCGAGAAATTTCAAAGCAGAGATCATAAACGAAGTACTTAGCATACAATGCATTTTCTTATCTTGCGATTTCAGGTCCTAAGAGGGACCCCCATACCATTTTCGTATCACATCCTGTCATACCGATTCAGGCAGATTTTGCACCGCAGCACCACGGACGAGGTATATGAATAGACCAAGCATCTTACGGGATTGCGTGCTCGTGACCTGAAATACCGACATAGTAAAAAATCACTAGTTTTTTAGCGCACTCTACATTTAAACAACGGTGAGTTGGGAAACTAGTAAATGCGCCAGCAATATGATTTTTTGTTCATTACAGTGTTGTCAAACTTTCAATATCGAAAT